AGTTTAAAGAGGCAAGTGACTGGATTGGAAACCTGAATTGACTTTTCTCAGTTTTGCTGAAGAGCAGCATACTAGCCCTAGGTGCTGGAGCCACAACGGCTACTCCTCTGTGCTAAGGTTGCAGCACACCAAGTGAAGGTAGAAAATCAAAGGAAAAAGTCACCAACTAAGACCACCAAGGCAGCTGCAAAGCAAGATGATAGTACAATGAAGAAACAAACTAGGTTAGGCCTAGAAGCTAAGAAGGAAGAAAATCTTTCTGATTGGTACTCTCAGGTCATCACAAAGTCAGAGATGATTGAATACTATAATGTCTCAGGATGTTACATTTTGAGGCCTTGGTCATATGCCATTTGGGACTTCATTAAAGATTTCTTTGACAAAAAGATCAAGGACTTAGGTGTGGAGAATTCATATTTCCCTATCTTTGTGTCTCGTGATGCCTTAGAAAAGGAGAAGACCCATATTGCAGACTTCTCACCTGAGGTAGCTTGGGTAACAAGGTCAGGATCAAGTGAAATGGCAGAACCTGTTGCCATCCGTCCCACTTCTGAGACTGTCATGTATCCGCTTTTGCTAAGTGGATCCAGTCTCACCGTGATCTACCAATGCGTCTCAATCAGTGGAATAATGTTGTACGCTGGGAGTTCAAACAACCAACACCTTTCTTAAGGACTCGTGAGTTCCTGTGGCAGGAGGGACACTCTGCCTTTGCATCTAAACCTGAAGCTGAGGAGGAGGTTTACCAGATTCTAGATTTCTATACCCAAGTCTATGAAGAATTGTTGGCTGTACCTGTTGTGAGAGGCAAGAAGACAGAGAAAGAGAAATTTGCTGGAGGTGACTTCACCACAACCACAGAGGCTTTTATTTCTGCAAGTGGTAGAGCAATTCAAGGAGCTACATCTCATCATTTGGGACAAAACTTCTCTAAAATGTTTGAGATAGTGTTTGAGGATCCCGAGACAAAGCAGAAGAATATGTTTACCAAAACAGCTGGGGTCTTACAACTCGTACCATTGGTGTAATGGTAATGGTTCATGGTGATAATAAGGGATTGGTGCTACCCCCAAGAGTTGCCACCGTTCAGGCAGTTATCATGCCTGTTGGAATCACAGCCAAATCCACAGAAGAAGATAAGACCAACTTGATTGCAGCTTGTCAAAAACTGGTGGAAGACCTGAAGACTTGTGAGTTCGAGCACGCTGTGACATGCGAGACAATGTGACTCCAGCATGGAAGTTCAACCACTGGGAGTTGAAAGGTGTTCCTCTGAGACTGGAATTAGGCCCTCGAGAAGTAGCAGCAGGCGAAGTTTTTGCAGTGCGTCGTGACACGGGGGAGAAGAAGGCTGTGAGCCGTGCAACTGCTGGGAAGGAAATCAATGCATTACTCGACAATATCCAGTCAAGCCTCTTTAACCGAGCAAAGGCAGATCTTGATTCCCATAAGATTCAGGTAACCTCATGGAATGATTTCACTGGCAATCTGGACAAGGGTAATATTTTACTTGCACCCTTCTGTGGCCGTGAAGAATGTGAGGATGCCATCAAGAAGGATTCTGCTCGAGAGGAAGCACTTGAGCCAGGAGCACCAGCAATGGGTGCAAAGGGGCTCTGCATTCCTTTCGAAACAGCCGGGAGATGTGAGTGGCCTCTCATGTATCTACCCCTCTTGCAAGGAAAAGCCACAGGCATATACCCTGTTTGGTCGGTCTTTATTAAACACTGGCCCATGTTCAACTGAATTTTTATCATGTCTTTTCATAAATTCATAACTTAATATTTTAGTACTGATTCGATATGAAATATATTATAAAGGAGTACCTTGTTGTATTCTTTATTCATATTTTGAGGGAGCTTAGGCTTTGACAACAATGAAGCTCACATGGTATGCAAAAGCAAAATTACAGAACTATATATGTATAATACTCTTGTGGGAGTGTTTCTTTACTGGAAAGTGTTTGTATATATTTCTTGCATACCAGTGACTGAATGTGTTATTACCAGAGCTATACATGATCTGCCATAAACCACAAAGGTCAGAAATTGATATATTTACCATCAAGAGGAGGCAACACAGCTGGTCACTTTTAAACACTTGTGATTACCACAAGTAAATATGTACATAGGTTAAATGCTACATTTATTATGGGGTGTAGCCAAACCAGGCCTTGTATATTTTTCAGTAAACATTATTTTTTTAAGATTAAATATAATGTGTACTTGAAGATTTAAGAAGGAAGAAAATTTTAAAGATAAATCATTCATTATTTTTATTATTTCTATTTGTGTATAATATCGATGATATCATATGACAAAAAAATTGTAAACATTGTTACAGACCTAATATGCATTGTTCAAATACTTACCCAACCCTTAGTAATCCAATTCAGTTTGTTGTCTGATGGATAAAAGGCAAAACGAACCTGGCATATGTAGTGGATATTCTGTTTAAAGTCTGCAGGAGACCAGCATGGTTTATATATTAATTAAACTGATATTAAATGCAATGTTTAAGCAATTTCGATATAAACTAATTGAATTTGTGAAAAAAGGCACAAGGCCATAATATTCATTTGCACTTATGTGAAAGGTTTTGCATGATATTGTAACAGCATAAACCTTGTCATCCCCTCATCCTTTCTTTTGTGAGAAGAATTATCATAATCAGAATCTTTACATGCTAAAATATCAGTACAGGCTAGGTTGCAAGGAAATCCCCAACATCAGTTGAAGATTAATGATGTAATCATCACAGACCAAAAAGATGTGCCAATGAATTGGTCAAATCCAAGGCAGAAATCTCTGCCTTGGATATACAGAGGGTTCCAAGTCTAAGGAAGGCGTAGGGTCTGCTGCAGTTAGCAGTGAGAAGACTGAAGCCGGGAATCTACCACCTGGAACCTCAACTTTTACAGCAGAATTGTAAACCATTCTTGCTGCTGTAGAAATGTCAGGACATGGGAAGCCAATCCTTGTTAGATATAGTGATTCTCGCAGTTCACTGCAGGCAGTCAAAAGACTAAACTTGACACACCCAGTATTGGGTGAAGTGATTGGCTGTTAGGTCTAGAAAGTGCATTGATTTCCTGGTTAGGTCTCTTATGTCGGCATTCATGGAAATGAGAGCAGACCAAGTAAAGGCCTCTTCTGCTTGGCCTAGTAATGCCATATTTTCCCTTCCACATACTGACCTTTATCCCATCATAAAAACTTTCCAAAGAAATGGACAGATTGGTGGAGACTCACCACTAATAAACAGCTATGAATTAAAGATGATTTAATATTAATAAGCTCAAGAGAAACTGAAAAACATATGGTTTCTGTTTTTGTCTAGGAACTTCCATAAGCATTCAGACATCATCATCCCTTCTAGAAACACTGACTCTCCTGTGACTGAATTTGAAAATAGGTAAAAAGGACTTGCTTTGACTTTAATTATGATGGAGGGAATGTACCTCCTTAAGAAAAAATAGTTTGGGTTTCTTCTAGCTTTATTTGGGTACTTTCTATAATAAACTCACAAGACTAAAAGGCCTTATGAATTATTGGAAGTTAGATATTTGACATATTTCAGTTCTGGAGAAATACAGAAAATGACTTAAGATTTTGCTTTTACATGTAGAAAAAAATCTTTAGTGTCATCAAACTACAATTCAGCACTGATGGTTTCCTTTGATCATGATAATGTTGCATGTTTACTTCATAATTAATTATTGTTCTGTGAGTGCATGGTGTAGTCCTCTAGATTTCTCTGCACCTTTTTTTGATTTGGGCGCCCCCCAAAGGGAATCTGCCTTGTTGTGGTGGGGGGCTTTGTACCCCATTGATACAGGGAGCAATGTTGGCTGGGCCTCCCAAGCCATCAAGGTCCCTGTAGAAGAGCCAACAAAGAGACTATCAAGAAGACTTATGATGACTTGGCAAATTAATGAATATGAACGGAATTCTTCTTTGAACACAAGTGGTTGGTATTGGATAGCAACCCAGATTAGCCAGACGTGTTTGAAAGTTTTAGGCCAAGTTTTTATTTTCAGTGATCTTGATGGAATGAAGACCCTGAAAATGCTGGAAATCTTATGTATATCCAAGCAGCAACTATGGAGGATACCCTGAAGGGATGACATGCACTCCCCTTGTTGGGCTCAGTGGTGGGACGTGGAACTGTTTGGATGAAACTCAAGATATTTCATCTTATAGATATTCCTTTTTCTTCCTCAATCCAGGAAGTGAGTTCTCCCCCAAAAATTAAAAGCCCAACGATCACTGAACTGAAAATGAACTAGACTGTCTAAATCCAGACTACTGAGCCTTACCTTCTATTTAAAGATCAGAACTTTGGTAGTCCAAAAGCTAATGGATGTAGAAATATCAAGGGAACAAGGCACAGTAGGGATTCCTATATCTCAATAAGTCCAAAATTTCCTAGGTATAGAATTTGTCAGGGATATTGATAATCTTAATCTGTCAGTCTTTAGAGTAAATAAAGACATTGTTAACCCATTGCCGACGGTCATGCCATGCCATGCCCACTGTGAGATTACTTGTTGGATTGTTTTTACACATAGATGGCTACACTTGTACTAAATCACCAATGAGCCAGTTACGAATACTGCCTGTCTCGCCCGTTCACCTTTTTCTTTGATTTATGAAATATTTTATGTTATCTTATTTTGCTGTTACTAATGTTAAAAAACATTATAAGAATTATAATATTTATAATAAAAATAACACCATCAATATTCATGGCACTAGTGAAAAATACGTTTTTCCCGCCATTTCAAATCAGGTGCTAACAGAGCCATCTATGGGCAGACATTTAACAAAAAAAAGTAGAAAATAGGCACAGCATTTTCCCCATTTTTCGTTGATTTTCCCCGGCAGCAATGGGTTAAATGCTGTGGTGGCAACCCAAAAAAAATCCAATAGCTTAAAGATGAAATGTAATTCAAGCAGGGAATACCCAAAAATCTGTGAAACTACTTGAACTAAAAGAAACTGATGGAGTATAGGTAAAAGTCTCTTCAAGTTATTATATGAATTTGGTTAAGGGAGTAGTCTTCAATAAGAAACTCCTGAAATACTCTGAGGAAACACATAAGAAAGAAATGGCATACCAAGGAGTAACAGATAAAATGCATCAGGAAAAAGGGAATATATGGATTATTATGTACACCAATTCTAATCCTCTATTTGATAAAAGCTCCTATATAAGAACTTTGATATGTAATGTATGTTATAACCAATGTTCCCTCTCCAAAATGATGCTTCAATTGCTAGAGTTCTGGTCCTGTTGGAAAATGGTGCAGGTTAGAGATAGATATCTGCATAAAGTGTGGAAACACCAAATTTGAAGAACACACCTGTAGCCAGAATAACATTCATCCTGGAAAAATTAGAAAGGATAACAAAATCAGCAGTACAGCAGAAAAAATGCTCAAATGCAGAATTCACTGAACAACAGATCAGCCTCAGATCTTCCATGCCTCAGAAGGCAGACAGAATTCTTATTACCAAGATCCTACATCATCAGCTGAGAAGCAAATACAGACATCACAGCAAAGAAATTCTGAAACCAAGCAGCCCCAAGAACAAAGAAAACTCAGAAGAAATTCCTTGGAGAGACAACAGCCTGAGGGTTGTATAAAGGGGACACAGACAGAATCATGGAATTAGATTAATCCTTCAGGAGAAAGAGAAAAATGTCCACCTAATGAACCATCACAAAACACCATAAGAACCACTCAGGAAGCTTCAGCAGAGGCTAACCAAAAGACATCAGAATCAGCACAAAATACCTCAATGGCCACCCAAGAAGTTTCAGCACTGCCTACTCAAAATATATCAGACATTCCAACAAAAGCAGTACTGAAAGTAACTCCAGAAACAAAGGTAGTATTACCAACTGAAAGACCAACCATCCCAAACATCACTAAGAATACAAATTCCTCCACCTCATTTTGATTACTGGGAATTATAACATGACTATCTGCACATACAAAACCTGCAACAAAAGCACCTAAGACCTTGGGTCAAACTCCAGGAAGCAAAGGGAGAAATACCAGCACTTCGAGAAGAACAACATCCTCTCTCTTTAAATAAGAATGAGAATTGCTAATATTCACAAAGCTGGGGAAAAAGCAAAACAATGCCCCTAAACCCTCAAGAATATATTGAGATGGACTCCAAAACTAAAAGAAAAAAGGACAGCTCAAATACTCCTCCACTAAATTCATCAAAGGAACAAGCCCTCTCGCTGCAAACCACTGCGCAGATGAAGGCAGTTAAAGTAGAATTGACCAGGCAGTACACCATAGCATCAGTATACTTGCCTCCACATGACAGGCAAAAACGTACAAGAATTAAAAAGAATAACTGAATAATTACCCTCCCCATTCCTGATCTTATGAAAATTCATGGCTGTCATTCATCTGTGGGGAGATACAACAAATGACTGAAGAGGTAATGCCCTAAAATCTGTCTTCTTGGAGATAGGTAGCTGTTCTCAACCAACCTACCCATTTCCAGATACAGAATGGAATGCTATCCAACATTGATAAGTAATGAAAGATCTACACAGAAGTCACCACTTCCAATAACACTAAAGAAAGTAGATGGAATCTTGCATAATGGGATTTCAAGATGGAGAATCGAACATGCAGATTGGAATCTATATCAAAATGTTGCACATATGCAGATCCCAATAGAAGATTTTATACCTATACAAGAAGCTGTTGACCACTTCACAAATAGGAT